ATGTATCCACATAAATTCTAAAATCGTAAGAAGAATTCGTCTCATTTCCTTTCGGACCGGTAAGCATTTACCTAATGAAATGTAATTTTTATAAAGGAATCTTTTCTTCTCTTCATAATATAGTTTAAACGAATCGCCGCTAGATTGGCCAGAAAAGAAACCTTCTGTGTAGACAGAGGAGCGAACACGAACGTTTCCGTGTCACCTTTGACCTCATTTTTACAGACTATACAGTAACGTAGTCAATAAACTTTTCTACTGAAAACCACGAATATTCGTCCAATGTATTTTTCCGAAAAATTAAGCCGAAGGTTCTTTTTGAAACGTCGCCGTTGTCTTTTTCGTTACGATAAATTCTGCGGTAAAAAACCGGAACCGAACAGCCATCGAAACGTCCGATATCCGAAAAATGCGCATTATTTGTAAGAGCCAGGGTCGCACGCGGCGAATTTGCCACCGGTATCCAAGATGGCAACGTCGATGGGAGTCGAATGTAAAAATAACGACAACAGCTGGAACCCAACCGGACTCCGCTCCGATAACCTCCTTCCAAAAATACTACGAGAGGAAGACCGGGTCCGGGCGTCCGAAGATTCCTTTTTCCTCCTCCTCCTCCCGAGTAATTTCGATTTCGGGAGGAGGATACCGAAACCGGGAGGTTGGAACCTTTCACTCACCCACTTCTCGACGTTGTCTGGTGAAGGACGTCGTTTGACCCAGTTCCTCGCCGTCACGCGGACGTACAATACCACCGATTTTGCAGTTGTAGCGGGAGAAAATTACGCACGACAGATTATTATTTATAATATTAAAAAGCATTTCTTTGGTAAAGAAATTGGAAATACTGTATTTAGCAACGATACGAAATTTGCGTTTTTCTGTCATACAAACATTTCTAAACAAATATAAATGATTAAAGCTGTAAAAAGTACTTTAACGTTAGAAATGCGTAAAGAGGAAACGGACAGATAGAAATGATCTTTGGCTCCTTTGACGCGAAAATCTAAACCGAGTTAGGTTAAGCCGGGGCTCGTTTTCTCGCCTTAAAGGGATACAGAATATATTTTTATTGCGCCGCGTTGTCCCGTCTCCGAAAAGATGCCCGGTTCTTTCCCCGGCGTGTAAGAAATAAGCGCTTCTTTGTCTTCAATTGTTCCTGGTTTACATTCTTTTTCTGTGTATGCGCACTCGACACTTGGCGACTTTCGTATAGTTCACTCCGAGTGCCGAGCGTACTTCTCGCCGTAGATAAATATTTACATTTTCGTACGGAAGGGAGAATTTCGTTTCAAACATTTAAATGAAAATTAGCAGAAGACAAAAAGTTCGACTTTATTCCGTAATCTAGCCACGTTCTTCGGAACGACACGTGTTCCTCGGCCACATTCTTTTATTTCGCTGCGTAATTTCCGGGCGAAGAATGTGGTCTGGAGGCCAGCAACAGCTGGTTTACCACGTAACGTATACGATTATCGAAGTACGGGATTTTTACGCCATTATACGTCTTCTGTATTGGCGCGTTTGTCTCCAAACGTGTCGCTAATAAGTAAACACATTTTCATCTGTATTAATTATACACGAGCCGGTGTTAACGACCGGACTCCATCCGAGGCTGTAAACGTGTTACGTAATCGAAAACTAGAAAGACAAGGCGACGACGTTAAATTATTTACCTTTCGACTAATTCACGCGCGGAAAGTAACCCACCGAACTAAGACCCAGCGCATTGTTTATTGCGCGCGCGCATTAATGTCTGGCCACCGGTTAATGAGTCACATTTTTAATATTTGCGATTCCACCCGTTATTAAATTTCCTGTCGATCGCGTGCGGTTATTAAATGGTTTCCGCGCGATATTTTATCGCCGACGTCCAGCTTGGCTTTCGAAAACAATTTAAGCCATTCTCTCCGTAAAGCTGGGATTTAAATTGATTGCGAGAATTAATGGAGGATAAAAGTCCGGGAAATGTTAAAATTTAAATGTACTGTACGGTACTGTACCATTCGTACACCGATTTTTAAAACAGTTTTCTCCATTCGGTTAGAGAAAATTCCAAAAATTTTAAACTAAACACCGTGAAATTGAAACTTAGAAATCTCTCGGACGATAATTTATAGAAGTCTTCTGTCTCAATTGCGCATCTCTCGACGTTGTTACTGTTTGATACCGTCCGGAGACAAAGTAGATAACACCAATTAATCTCTGTTACCTATGCCACCATCGAATCGTTCCACTTTCGTTTTGTGTTCTACGCTTCGAATTTTTCTTCAAATTCGATTTTCAACAGTTCAGAATTTCTCGGGTTTTCGTACGAAACTACCACGGATCATCCACAATCCAATAAATAAAAAATAAAAATACTAATCGCTAATTTAGGCTGTACGTACAGTACTTACGTCTGGAAATTCCTATGGAATGTTCTTTTATATTAATGTTAATAAATACAGTATTTATCGACCAACAAAATTTGGATTTATATGTAATATTTCGTGTTTTTTTCTTATTCCGTTTCTATTAGAAATATGCGAATGTCCCTGGTATAACGCGGTAGTTACGTTCGGAAAAGTTCCGTGTTAGGCCAATCCGCGCTGTACCAAACGAAGGCTAGCGCAAAACACCAGGTTAGGTTCCAGAAGTTCACAAAAGTGTACTATTAGAGAGGTTGAGGCGCACGTTTTAAACGTGTAAACGTGTACGTGTGACGTTCGGCGCCGCTTTCCCGTAAGCCTAACAGTTTGACAATGGTGTTTGGATAGTCGGTGGAATCACGCTCGACATTCCAAACACCATCGTCAAACTTTTTGGCTTACGGGAAAGCGGCGCCGAACGTCACACGTACACGTTTACACGTTTAAAACGTGCGCCTCAACCTCTCTATTCTTTCTCGTTACTAAGAGAAATACGTTTATTAATTAAAGCAATAGACAATTAACTAACAATCGCAATTCGCTCTTGGTCAGAAATATCGGCAACGTCATATTGCTTTCCCGGCTGTTATAACAGAGGGAAAGTATGGAGATCCGGCAAAAAAATGCCCGGCCCACATTTTTTTCGTTTTTGGGCTCGGGACATCAGAAACGTAGAGAAATAGAAAAAATTTTGAGGATAATTTCTGTATGTATGGATGTCGATGTGTTTGGACGTTTGTTTCTTAAGTTACGGCAACGCAACGCTCGGGGGATCTGCCTGGGGGATGCCTTCCGGGAGGTCTTTTTAAGGGTGGCTGTCCCTATTCGGGCGTTACGGACGTGGAATAACCCGGAAAACTCCAAGTGGCCAGCCCGTCTTGGCCGGGAGCGAAACACGACCGATGTCCCGGTGTTGGGGGAACCGAACCTCTGGCCACTGGTGAGCCGTGTGTGGGGGGCACGATTATGTTCACCCTGTTTAAAGCTCGATAACTATCGCGCTTTATGTCGAAAAATTCTGAAATTTTGCGGGAGTTTGTTTATCGGGGGATTGAGGCTATTAAATTTTGGTGGTTGAAGGTCGAGAGGGTAGGGAGATAACGGGGATCGTATATATCTCCAGTAGGGTCGGACTTAATGAAAATTTTACTTATTACCATTTACAATTTTTAAAAATCAAATTCGTCCCTACTCTCGAAATTAAGTTTCTGTCATTTTATAATAGTTAAAAATATGAAATTTTTAAAATAAAACACGATAACAGATGGCGCCACCAAAATGTTAAATATTGCCGGGAAAGTTGGGCAACTCGTTCCTGGTTTATTTTTTATATTTATAGATGAAAAAATAAAATTTGTTATTAATCGAAAATTTGTTCTAGGAACTCTCGTTTAGTCCAGTACCGAACGAATTTTTATTCAGAATTTGTGTTCGAATACCGAATTGTTCGAGTACCGACATACCCACTTGTTTCGTTGGTCATTTTAATAACGATTGTTTTCCCACGGATTAAAAACGTTTACTAACAACTACCTAAAAATGTTTAAATAAATTTTACTAAACACGAAACTTAATCTACAAAAACAAAACACGATGGCAATGTTATAGGGCTAAAGTCCGCAAGTAACGACAACGACACCCGGTGGAAAGAAAAGCGGGGACAAGGAACAAACAAATCGCGCCATCGGTTTTCATTAAATTAAACCCGACAAAGGCACAAAAAAGGAAAGTTTCAATATTCTAAAATACGTGGGCAAATTTCAGACGACGCTTACGCTTATTGGAATAAAAAAATATAGAACAACGGAGTTTGCGGTGAAAACTGTCGAAATTTTGTACGAAGGATTTCTCCAATTCTCGAACCGCGTGGTAAGGGGGAATAGAATACGATTCGGCAAGGCCCGATATTTCTTCCAGACGAAATTAAAAATCACCTTATAATATCGATAGACGTAGGCTACGATTTTAGAGGCAATTAGACGACGGCCAAGGAGGCGAGAAAACAAAAGACAGAAAACGGTCGGCCGTATTTAATTCTGTAGCCGTAGGTAAAAGTCGAGTTTTTATCTTTGTGGGCGCCGGACTTAAGCGAATTAACACACGAGCGCAAACCGAGAAGGAAGACAAACCCTTTTTGTAAATTGACCGCCGGGCGTACTCGCGACGGTAATTTCGAACCGAAGACGGAAAGGGTCGACGCGTCTGATAGAAAAAAAAAGATCGAAAGGGAAGTGGACGGAAGGTGGCCGACAACTTAAAATTTTCAAGAAAATAAAACACTTCGGATCGAGGTTTTCCCATTTAAAATCGGAAAAGGAAGGTTCGAATGCGATAATGGAGACGAGCCGTTTCCTTTCGCCTCCATCCGCCGTCTTCTTCCTGGTCGGCCAAAAGGAGGTCGATTTATCGATACCCGTCTTGGACGCGGTGGACGGGCGCGGGCAAAGAAGTCTTTGGTCGTAGGGAACGACTAATGGCGCATTCATTTTCAAAAACGGGAGCGGACGACTTTGGCGCGTGTGTGACGGAAAGCGCCTTCTCCGCGATTACCAATGATAAATTAAAATGATTTATAATTTTTCTATCCCGCAGCCTCCTTCTACGGGGTGAGTCACCTGTCGGTTCCCCTGCAAGACTCCAAGAGCAAGACCGACGTCTACTTCCGGTTCCTAACTCACCGCGCCGACTGCCTGCTCTTCTTGGCCGCCGGCTCCATAGACTATTGCCTGGTGGTGCTGGAAGCCGGGGAAATCAAGGTAAGAACGCTTCTCCCGCTCCTCCCCGAGGTCCTCTTTCGGCCGACTTTACGAGGGAAAATCGGTGGAACGTCCGCGGAAAATATTTTAACCGGGACTTTATTGATCGAGTTTGGCTTCGCACTCCACGCCGTAAATGGATTTGGTCCGCGGTTTTATTTTACGACATTTGTCCCGGACGTTGGAGAGGAACGACGGGCGAACATTCGCAACGGAGGAACGAAATGTTGGCTATTCCCCCAATTAAGTCTATTCTAGCGCACGTGACAAAAGGTCGACGTCTCCGATTTCTTTTCCGCCTTCCGTTTCCTGCCGAATTTCGTCGTTTCGGTCATTCCGTACTCGTTCTAGATCCGGGGAAAGGGCCGACCGGAATAAGTTAATCTGGTAAATTTTCGCGCCTCCGCCCGTGGCCCGACGCCGTTAGTGGGTGGGGCGGAGTTTTCCGGGTTTTTTCGGCCTTAGAAACGCCTAAACGGATGCCGGTTTTCAGTAATAGACCCGCCGGGAGGCGTGGCCCGTGCGCGGCCTGGCCCTTTACCATTAAAACCCGACCCGTGGTAAATTTTCCTCGGTATTTTCCACTTTTCGGTCGGACCGTCTTTTCCTTTGTACCGTACCGAGCACCAATAGCAGAAATTAACCGTAAGCCACGCCTTTGCTGTATTTTATCGACGGTTCGTTTTCTTCTCCGGTAAATCCGTGGTGAAATACCGTTGCGCCTACGTTTTACCTTTTCGACTTTTACCGATAAACGGATGTAGGCCCAAATTAATATAATTGTCGCGGATTAAATTATTTAACCTACGTTATTAAGAACTGCGGGAATTTTTTGTTTTTCTCCCGTTAAATTAAGAACGTTCAGTGTACTCTATACGTAACCGCCGCCGGCCTTTCGAAGCGGACCGTTGGATTAAAATCCCGATATAACTTTAATATTTTGTAGAAATAAATGTCGAATTGTATACGGGGATATTCTTACGGGCGGCAACGGCGTCTTCTCCACCCACTCCTCTAAAGATCTTACGGTGGAAAAATCGAAAATACTCTCCCAATACTTTATTCTTCCGGCGAAATTTTATCGAAATCCGAAAGTCTATGGAAATTAAAGTATTGCCAAACCCCAGACATTTCGGCTAAGACAACCGGGATAAACAGATAAAATATTCTACACCCGTTTTGCTTACTAGAATATGCAAAAAAATAAAAAAAAAGTTAGTCCGCCTCTATTATAATCCGAGACGGGGCAATTAAAATTTCTAGTTACGAGATACTCTTAACATTAAAAATATATTTTGTCATCTAATATTTAATTAATAGAGGGAAACTGTACGGTACAGTACAGTACATTACGCCGTGTTTAAAACGTATGTTTAAATTTTCATTTAATTTTCTGGAAAAATTCACTAATTACACGTTTCGGATCGACCGATAAGTTAGCCGTAAAGGGTTGACAAACGCTACTTAAATATTCTTTACTCAAATCTATTATTTTTTTAAAAGTATTACTCTCGTATAATCCCATATATTGTGTTGTATATTATGCGTGTATATATATTATATAAAGCTTGCATAGGCGAGTAACGATGGCGCGGATGGCTTTTATTTCTTAAAAAGTGATTACGATTACCGGAAGAAATTTGTTTTACCTTTTGTATTAATTCAGCCGGATTAAATAATTGAAGACGTAGGAAGAGTTTGAGTCTGCGGCTTTTGTTCGAGTAATTTTCCATATCGTCAATTGGTCAATTTCCTCCGTCGATTAACTGCGGAACGGAAATTCGAAATGAGCCGCTCAAACGCTCGTTACTTTTTACAACCGGGTGGATGGAAGTCAAAATTCCACGTTTGAACGGCCGACTCTCCTATCGACTGACGGAACATAATTGAAAGTCGAAAGAAACTTTGGGATTTCTTTTCACTTCCGATTGTCTTCCGTTACGTTACTTTAGAATTTTCGTATCAGAAGCGAAATAAAGAAAAAATACAATTTCCAGTCAGAAATATTGGAGCGCATTGAAAATTCCATAACTTATATCGATCGACGTCTTTGTTATCTCTAAAAATGAAGCCGTCACATAGGAGAAAGAGCCGTTCTTGTAAATAATGCATTTAAACAGAAAGGAAAATATAAACAAATATAAAATATTTTGACGTATTTAGGACAAAACCAGTGGTCGGATCAACATAAAAATGGCGCAACTTGGTACTCGATGCCGGTCACGTCGATTGGGTGACGGAGGTTGGAAATTTCCTGGGAATCTTTAATCAAACTTTATACCGTGGAAATATTCAATTTGTTGACAATTTCCGTTTACTTCCTTTCGAAAACTGGTTGAGAAATTTGGAAAAAATTGCCAAGAAAGTTAATATCGAATCGATTGGCTTTAAGTTGTCTTCTCCTCCGCCACCGTAATCGAAACTTCCAGCAACGTTTTACAATAGAAAAAATTTCAAAATTTCCTTGGTTTTCCAAATTAAACGATGAATTTATCTTTCCTACAATAAACTTTTCGTCTTCCAAACCCGAATCGGAATTCGTACTTGTAGCGTTATTAAATCTGCGCGTCGATTTTATCTCGCCATTTATTAATAATACAATTGTGGTTTTTATCTCAACACACTATCTTTTTTCCTCGTCCAATTACTTGGCCATTGTGTCTACTATTTTTTCCACCCTCTATAATTAGTGTATTTCGTAACCTGGAAAAGAATCGCTATCCCGAGTGCCAACGTATCTTCCAGACGGTATACTTGGTCGTAATATAACCAACTGCGTAAGTAATAAATCTTAAATGCGCGGATGGTAATTATATAGCGGCGAAAGAGCTCTGGAGACACGTAGCGCGCCATTATAAATATTTCGACGACTATATCTCTTTAATTAATATAGCGCGAGGGAGGAAAGTCGAGACTAAATTACCGATAAATGCAATTTAAGTAATGTACTGTACCTCGAGCGAATATCGCCGATCGAGAATTAAATCTAATAAGTGACATTAAAGATTCGAAAGTAAGTGAATAACATTTCGGAAATTTCTAATAATGCCGAGTAGAAAGCCACGAATTAACCGAAGGATAATTGTCGAGTCGAAAGGAAAAACTGACGGAGACGATAAGTCGTAACAGAAAAATTGATGAAAATTACGACGTCGCGATTAGCGAATGTAATAAAATTATTCCGTTTCTCCAAAATTGCCATATAACTTTATCGCTTTAGCCAAAATTGCTGGGTAAAAATTAGAAAAATCTGTTTAGTTTTCGGTAACGTGCGCCGGATCCTCTTACCGTTTAATCGCTCACTAATGAAAGTTATCGAGGAGCGATGGGACGTATCCTTACTTTATTACATATTTTTCACACAGTTCGAATCGAAATCGAAATTCTGGATGTGTACTGTACGAAAAATATGTAAAATACATAAAATGAAACAATTGCTTTATCTATTCTGGTAACGTTGGCTACGCTGTAAGGACAGCTACAGTGTATTGTACCAGCGGAAATAAAGAGGAATTTCTTTATAAATTGAATTAGAGATGTCGCAGACACTACACTTTTCTCTTTTACCATATAAACGAAATTTACTCTAAACTACCGACGCACCCAGAAATTGTCCGGGGCCTTTTATACGCGCGCACATATATAGGCCTACACGGCGATTCTAAATATATGCGAAAATTTTCGGGGCCGATTCTTCCAATAATTCCAACACGGAGTAATTGTAATAACTGTGGAAAATGACTTCCGCCGCCGACCGTAGGGCGTCGAATTATTTCGCAGGATTCGACATTTCGTAATCAGAGCCACATATTAAGCGTCCCATAGCTTTTCAACACTATTCCGACAATCTGCCCCGAAATTTTTCGCACATATTTACAATTGTCATAAAAAAAACGCATATACGTTTGACGTCGACTTTTCTTTCGGGATCCGGCGTCAACGCGCGGTATTAAAATTTTTTAAAACATTACTGGGGTCATTTTTTGTTGCGTTTACACCCATCCGCAGACTCCCGATGGAAATTCGATGACCCGACATAAATTATTTCAGTACGTAAATTAATCCTCTGGACATTATAATTGGTGTAAAGTCTACTAGCGCGATTCTTGATAAAAGGTCGATTATTCCGAAGTAATGGGAATTAGACTATATTTAAAAGCGTCTTTGGTTTTACAAATTAATTTAATATCCGTTTAAGTTGCGTATTAGTTACAAATTAAGTATTTTATTCCTGTTTCGATTATATAAATATGTCGGTATTTGAAAAAATATATAAAAATCGATATGAATTAAGTGTGCCCGGATGACTTTTGTCTTCGGGATTTACTCGAGTTCCGGAATATTTATCTCCGTATTAAATCGTCGCATTACGAAATGTTTCTTGTCCGTAACAATTACTCTTTTTTGTATTGGTCTTGGTCCGAAGTCGGATTTGCCAATGTCAAATAAACAAATATTTTAAATTTATTACTGTTTATATTGGAATAACTAATTTATGTAAAACGAACTTTCCATAATTTACAATTTTAAATTTACGACTTTAAATCATTAATAAGTTTTAAGGCGAATTTTTGACACCGGGCGATTTACCTCCCAAATTTGCGTCCTTATAAATAAATTTTCTGCCATATTCGAAGACGGTAAGAAATTTATCGGAATAGCGGCCACCATTGTTATTTCCCTCCTGTTAAAGTAATGGTTTCTTTATCGATTCGACGATTAGATCGAAAAAGAAACCAATACCTTACTTCAAACTATAACAAATACCGAATACATCCGGGCAGATACGTGCGATTAATCTCTGTATTATCGTCTGAAAATTTACAATTTGTCGCCATTGCTCGTATAGCCTATATATATATATAATATACGTAAATTTGTCACCGGAAAACTAATGATAATAGTATTTAACAGGCGTTTCTGAAACCTACGACTATTTAAATGGCATTTACTTAGCCTTATAATTTTAAAAACTATATTTGAAATTATAAATTTAGAATCTAAGTTATCGAAGTACGGAATATAAGACGAGGTATGTATTTAACTTTAGTTTTGTAGTCTGAAATCTTTGAATTAATATAAAAATTAATCGACGTATTGAAACGTCCCGTAATTGGAAGTATTTCTGATGGCCGTTTCGTTTTTCAGGTCCGAATCAATTTGGGTGCCGGCGAAGCCGTGCTCAATTCTCCTCACGGGCTGAAACTCAACGATCTTCTGTGGCACGAAGTAGAAATCCATCGGACGGATGCCGAACTGACTCTTAACATCGACAACATCCACTCGACCTTCCTGGACATCCCCGGACGCTTCTTCGAACTCAACATCAAATTCGGCATCTTCGTCGGCGGTTTGGGAGGGTTCGACGAACTCTTCCTGGGAAATCTACACAATTTCCGGGGTTGTCTGGACGAGCTGACCTTCAACGACAACGACATCCTCAAATTGGCCAGCGAGAGTTCCGACAAGAGAAACATCTTCGGTGTAACTTGGGACTGCAGCGACCAGTTCGAGGCTTCTTCTCATCAGCCAATCAGTTTCGTGCAGAGAGGCTCCTACGTCACCTTTCCGGGATGGAATTCCAGAAGCGGCGGCTCCGTCTCTTTTAATATAAAAACTCAGTCTTCCATGGCCGTTCTCTTCTACAATTCCGGAATCCCCGCTAAACCCGATTTCTTCTCTCTAGAGATCATCAATGGTAAGCTCGTCTTCTCCGTCAACGAGGGCAACGGAGTGCTGGTTTTGCAGTCGGAAGTGGTGGTCAGCGACGGAATTTGGCACGGAGTCGATCTGCAGTTCAGTCCAACTTACGTAGAGATAGCCGTCGACGGTCAAGCCAAGAATCTAAGGCCGGGATTAGGAGAAAATCGCTATTTCGATTTGGCGGGTTACCTATACGTAGGGGGCATCGAATTAAACAAGCAATCGAGGGCCCTGCAGCAAGGTTTGCAGTCGGTTCTGGCCGTGGGCGTGGACAGCTCTTTGAGAGGATGCATCAAAAATTTGAAAATTAGCAATCAATTAATGGGATTCAGAGAAGTGATTGGAACTCACGGAGTGCAGACGGACTGTGTTTGGGAATACCCCTGTCTTCAAGATCCCTGCGTACCTCATGCCGAGTGTTTTCAAGAAGGAACGGACAGTTTTCGTTGCATGTGTGACGGATCGGTTTGCGTCAGAGCAAACTTTTCGTCTACTTATAAACTTTACACTAAATCATCGTTACCTATAGACTTGGAAATATTAACTCTACAGCCCCTAGAGATTTCGGAAGGAGGAAGCGATCTTATAACTTCCGAACATATTCAAGTCGTATTAGATTATCAAAAATTTGGGGTGAGGGATAGTGAAGTGTTATTTCACATTCTAGAACCTCCCCGCCACGGAACTTTGGAGATAGAAATCTGGAGGAGGAGTGCCGATAGCATTTTTACTTTACTCGATTTGAATACGGATAAGATACGATACACTCACCAGGGAAGTGAGGATCATCGCGACAGCATTACTTTCGAACTGGAATTTCGAGAGAGAAATCATCGTCTACCGGTTTACTTGGAACAGAGGCACAGGTTTCTCTTTCACATTCACATATCCCCCGTTAACGATCCTCCTCGACTTAAGCTGCCACCCAACAGAGTTATGAGATTGGCTAAGAACACCAAAAAGAATTTAGGTCAAGATATACTGGACGCGGACGATCCCGATACGGGGCCGGGCGATCTTGTGTACACTGTGCTAAATTTGGGCAGTGACAACGAAGGTTTCATCGAGAACGCCAAGAACCCGGGCCAGCCTATAGAAACTTTTACTCAGGAGGAAATCAACAATGGCGTCATCAGTTACGTACACAGAGGCGTTGCCAATTCTCGAATTGCCTTGAGAGTGAGCGACGGTATAGAAGCCGGGCAGACGGGAATTCTAAGGGTGGTTACTTTCGACCTGGCCCTTTCTTTGGTTAATAATACGGGTTTGCTGTTACCGTACGACTCCAGCGCCCTTATATTATCAGATAATCTGACTTTTACCACGAATTCGCCGGATCAGTCTTTAGAAATAAGATACGACATCACCCGATTGCCCCAATACGGGGTTATTCAGAGACTGAGAGGAAACGAACGATGGCAACCGGTCAACCATTTCACTCAGAGACAGGTGAAAAAGGAAAAGATTAGATACATTCATCAAAACGGACGACCGAGCTACGACGATTTCAAATTTGTGGTGTCTTGCGCGGACTTGAAAGTGGCCAACGTCTACGATTTTAGAATTACTTTTATCGCCGTCAACTTAAGGAGGATCGTGGATAAAGAGTTGATACTAGAAAGAGTGTTGGAAGGACATTTGTCAGATGGGGAAGTAAAGTTCGAAACCAATCCCATTTCCACTCCCGCCGACCAAATAGTGTACACCGTTCTTAATCCACCCATCTACGGAAACCTGGTGCTCTTCCAGTCTTCGAATTTAGAGCACAGACACAAAAAATTGGACGTCGGTACCACTTTTACGCAACAGGACATCGACAGTAAGCACGTCAAGTACAAACTTCACAGACGATCGTATTCCGCAGTTAGCGATCGTTTCGACTACAGGGTGAACTGCCCGGGAGGTGCGGCCTCCGATATTTTAACTTTCCACATTCGTCACGTACCGGGAGAAACCGACGTCACCATAGTGAACGAAAAATTGACGGTTCTGGAAGGCGATCGAGCGGTCATAACCAAGTCGCATCTGCACATCGAAACACCCAAATACACAGATATTATCTATAACATCACGTCGTATCCTAAACACGGCATTCTGGGAATCTTGGATCCGACTCACACGTCGACGGAAGAACATCCTCTGTTTTTCACTACGGACCAGATCGCGGCTCGCAGAGTAGTTTACACTCACGACGACAGCGAACACGACACCGACAGAATTCAGTTCGTGGCTCACGAAGAATCCGCAACGGACGGCTTCGTATACTACGGCGTTCTTCACGTAAACGTCATAATGAAGAACGACAATTCCCCCACTCGCGCCGTCGAGAAGCCTTTTCACGTGGTGATCAACGGAAAGAAGAGACTGACGGGAAGAGACGTTCGCTACGTGGACCTGGACATCGACTCGAAAACGTCCGACATTCAGTACACGCGAAGGGGAATTCCCAACGGAGGATTGTACCACGTGGATAATCCCGACACGCAAGTGTATCAGTTTTCTCAGGACGATTTAGACAAGGGTAAAATCGTTTTCAAACATAACGGTGCGAATTACGGAAAGGCCGTGCTGTGGGTAACAGACGGACAGTTCTACGCCACCGGAGTGTTAGAGATCGAGGCTTCGGAACCCTTCCTGAGAGTGTCGAGCAACACCGGTCTGGTGGTCAGAAGAGGGGAGAACGCTCCCCTGACCTCGGCCAACTTGACGGTCGAGACCAACTTGGACACGGAACCCGCCGAAATCATCTACAAGGTGGTTTCGGTGCCGAAGCACGGAGACCTGCTGATCGGAGGAAAGCAAATAACTCAATTCACTCAGAAGGAACTGGACGAGGCTGCCATCAAGTACGAAAACGACAACAGCGACGTCTTCTTCGACTCGTTTCTCTTCACCGTTCAGATGGACGACATCCAGGTAAAGGACACTTTCCCCATCAAGATTTACCCGGATATCTACTGGAAGCCGCTGCAGGTGATCAGCAACAAGACGCTGTACGTGGACGAAGGAAAGAGCGTGGTCATCGATCCGTCGTCTTTGAAGGTGGCTCACGTCAACATCAACCCCAGCAACATCACCTACCTGGTCACGGAGCCTCCCCGGCACGGATTTCTGCGACTGGGATCGGCCGAGCGGGAGGCGGATAAAGACCCTCTTCTGAAAACCTTCAACCAAGCCGCGGTCAACGACGGGAAATTAGTTTACGTGCAAACGGACAAGAACGTTTCGACGGACTTTTTTTCCTTCACCGTCACCAACGGCATCACGGCTTTGAAGGACCTGAAATTCGCTTTCAACGTCGTTTCCAAAGTAATCTTGATCAAGACGGGCAACATCTCGGTCCTGGAAGGACAAGAAGGGAAGATCACCACCGACGACATAACGGTGGCCAACGCCTACTACGCCCAGCGGGTGACGGAGTATTTGGTGGTGGAACAACCTCAACACGGATACATTCGCAACGTCAAGCAACCCGACGTGAAATTAGAAGGTTTCCAGACGTCGCAGCTGTCTTTGGGGCTGATCCGCTACGTCCACGACGGCAGCGAAACTTCGCGCGACTGGTTCACCCTGGTAGCTCACGCGCCCAGCCTGAAGAAGGAGAGCGCTCCTAGTACCATCCACGTGACCGTAGAACTGGTAAACGACGAAGCTCCCCACGTGGTTAACAATACGGGATTAGAGGTGTGGGAAGGAGCGGTCACGGTCATTTCCAACCGTCATTTGGCGGCTGCGGACGACGATTCCGAAGCGGAAGACCTGCATTTTGTCATTTCCACTCCCAGCAACGGTTACGTGGCTCTGAAAAACGACACCCGTACTCCGGTTCTGAGTTTCACCCAGGATCAGATCAACAAAGGAATGGTGGTCTTCGTGCATACAGGTGAGTGAGTGACGTAAAGAGATTTTTCGCGTTATTTGAAAAGACTGTACAGTACAGTGTAGTGTACTACCAGACTATTGTTTCAAATGCATAGCTACTTCGTTACCAATCTTATTTTTCATTTCGATTTACCTAATCTACATTTGAAACGCCGTAAAAGTTGGATTTTTAAATTGATCGTACGAAAGACGAGATACGCGTGAAGTATTTTTAACGGGCGTTTAAGTAGCAGGTCTTGTACTAAACAGAAATCAAACTGCAAGTTTTAATGTATTTAATCAATATCGCTGTTAGTACCGAGAAGATGCTCACTTTTAGGCTGAATTAGTATTCCGTTTACGATTAGACGAATTAAGGCCAGGTGCCAGGTGTCGATCGAGTCGGACATGGACATTTGTTTGGTCTTTCTACTTCCTTTAACTTTCTGTATTTAGGGAATCGTGGAATTTCCGTTTTGGTCGGACGATGAATAACGGGTTAATTTTTCATCCGCAGGAGAAAAGGCGGGAGGATTCAGACTGGAGGTGAACGACGGACTCATCTCCGGCTCGTCTAGCGTCTTCACCATAACGGCCAAATCTTTGCGAATGGTGATGGAAGTCAACGAAAAGTTGAACGTGCTACCCAGAATGCAGCAGTCTATCACCAAAGATCACTTGTTGGTCACCACAAACGACCAGGACAGCGGCCGGGAGATCGTTTATCGCGTGATCCGGGAGCCTTCTCTGGGCAGAATCCTGTTGGAAAATCCGGACGGATCTTTAAGTTTGGCCACTCAATTCACCCAGAACCAGATTAACAAAAACCTAGTGTTGTACGAACAGACGGAATCCATCACGGGTTTGACGGCGGTGGACGAGATCGGCTTCGACGTGGAAACTCAACACGCCGAAACGCTAAGAGGCGTGAATTTCCAAATAGAAATCTCCGTCGGCAACTTCGGATCGGGAAACTTCGATCAGATGGTGGAGTTGCATCCTCTGACGGTGAAGGAAGGAGGCAAAACGGCCATCAGCCAGGAGCACGTCGACCTGAGCAGACTCTCCGGTCTGTGGCAGGGCAAAGGAAAGAGCGAATTCGCCAAGAAGTTGAAAATAAGCGTCTGGGACCAACCTCTTCACGGGTGGGTGGAGGTGGACGGAGAGAACTCCACTTATTCTAAAGTATCGTTCACGCGAGAAGACATGAGAAAGAAAAGAGTGTTTTACGTCCACGATGATTCCGACACCTTTTCGGACTCCGTGTCTTTGGCGTTTTATTTGAACGGCGACGACACCATTCAGGACATTCTACTCTTTAACAAAACTTTAAACGTGACCGTCAGACCCGTCAACGACGGCATTTTCCAGCTGCTGACCAAGGTTCCGCGACTGGACGTGGTGCAGGGACAGCGCGCGGCCCTGACCGGCCACAACCTGAACACTACCGATCCGGACAACGTTCCTTCCGACATCGTCTACGAAATCATCAGCAAGCCCAGCAATGGAATTTTGGTTTACGGAGTTAACGGTTCCAATCCCATTTACAACTTCACCCAAGAAGACGTGGACCGGAGTCGCGTGTACTTCGTCCAGGACGGGACCAACGACACCGGCTCCTTTCATTTTAAAGTCAGCGACGGCAAACACAAGGCGGTGTACACCGCTTTCAACATCTACGTGGAGCCCCTATCTCTGGAACTTGTCAACTGCAGCCGCATCGAAGTACTGCAGGGCTCGACGGCAGTCTTCGTTCGACGTCAAAATCTTGGCGCTGTCACCAACGGCAACAGGGAAGACATTTGGTACAACGTCACCAGGGAACCGGAATTCGGAAAAATTTTTCTGGGCGACGACATCGTCACGCAGTTCAGGCAGGTGGACGTCGACGCCGAGACCGTTTTATACATGCAACTGGACCTGACGGTGTTCTTCGATCGGTTCGCGGTCAGCGTCTCCAACCGCGAAAACGTCATAGCCGATCGGACCGTCGACGTTACCGTGGTTCCGCTGGTCAAGCAAAGACCGTTTAACGCCACTTCCGGAACCTCCACTGCATTGACGCTGAAAGCGCTGAACGCCAGCGAGTTGGCCCTGCAGACCAAGAGCGACCCCGTGTACACCGTAACCAGAGGGCCGAAGTACGGGGTTCTGAAGCTGAAGGAAGGGAGGAAGGAAAGGGAGACGCCGGAGCAATTTCGATTTACTCACGGGGACGTGGCGGAAGGTAAATTGACCTACGACAGCGGCCACGTGGACTTTAGGGGTTCAGTCTCCGACAGCTTCGAGTACCTGTTGACCGCCCCCAACGTGCAGCCGGCCAAGGGAAAGTTCGTCATCGTTCTGAGACCCGGAACGGGCACCGCGGCCTCGGAGGCTCCCGCAGGCAAATCGCCACCCGATCACGACACGGTCAGCGTGTCCACCACCCCGTCGGCACGGGACTACACCACCGGAAAAACGGCGATAGAAGGCGTGGCCGAAGAACCCCCTCCCGCCGCCGCCCCAGGCGACGGATTCGTCTTGAGCAGCGATCACTTGCTGACGGTGGGAGTGGCGGTGGGAGTGGCCGTCCTGCTGTCGGTGCTGGTGGTGGCGGTCAAGTGCCAAAAGACCAGGAAGCGAAAGAAAAAAAGGGAGAAGAAACGGCCGGACGGAAAAGTTCCGGGTTCGCACACGGCCCAGACGGAGTTGGACGCCTCGGATCACCTGCCGTCCAACGGAAGTCTGTCCCTGTCGGACGATCTGCCTCCTCCCGCTCCTCCCACCTCTCCATCCAGCACCGGAAGTCGCAGCGGAAGCGCCACTCCGCGCCAGAGGACGTCGGGGTCCCGATGCAAGAGCGGAGAAGGGACGCTGCCTCCTCCCCCTCCGCCGCCGTACCTGACCGAGGGACTGGGCGACTGGACCGAGGTCAGTCCCACGGTGCCCACCTGCAAAGTGACCCCTCTCAGTCACCGCGAGAGGTCGGAACTGGGCGAGACCGCCCTCAAGTCGCCCTTCGCGGAAATGGCGGATCGAGAGGAGTGGAACCACTACGACCCGGGCGACATCAGGTACGGGCCTCCGAGCAATCTGATGCTGAGGAAGAACCAGTACTGGGTGTGAGACGGCGCCCGGAACGTCGGAGCCGCGGGAGGAGCCGCACTTTCTACTCTTTACTCCGAGGAAACTCGGCCGCCTCGACCACGGAGGGTCGGGCGCCGGCCGCGCCCTCTGCACAATCAGTACAAAACGACGACGCCCTCTTTCGCATCCCCTTCCTTCCGCCCGCAGATCGGTCCCTCCCCTTTACTCCCAACTTCCTCCCGCGCTTCCACAGGCGTTCCCCACGTCTAGATTACTTTAGAGACGTTAGTTAGAGCCGGAAGCGGCGGGGCGCCCGGCGGNTTTTTAAACGTTGAAAGTATCTCGCGCTTTCCGAATTAACGATGCTCTGCTATACAATGTTTATATATAAAAATATTGGTAGCTATTGATGCATATCTCGGTTTCGTAGGTATCCAGTTAAGCATATTTAAAAATTAAGTATAAAATATATATGAATTAATATAGATTTTCGTTTATACATTTTGTGTGTCAAATTTCAAGAAGTATCGATGCGTGAAATTTTTAAGTCGTGAAATTTACAAAGAAATTTTTATTGCATTTCGGTAAACTGAGTTGCGCAACGATACCGGTGGTTGACATTCGGACACAAAAAACACTTTCGACAAAAGTAAATATATGAATACTTCACAAAATACACAAAACTTAGAAAAGCAAATAACAAAGGAAGAAAATATTTCACGAAATATCGAGAAATATTATTTCAGATGAAAGTAATAATTTCGCGAAATTCATATCTCTATTCTCGCTTTCAATAAATCAAATTATTAATGAAATACACAAAAAAGCTTTAATTGATTAACACAGCCGCGAAATTTACAGGTTTTGGAGTAGCGCCGACGGTGGCGGGTGGACCGGACGTCGCCTTTTTTTAAAGAAATCAAAACTGGTCGACGCCGTAGAGGCGCGTGCCATTAGAGTAGCGTATAGTGGAANCACAAAAAACACTTTCGACAAAAGTAAATATATGAATACTTCACAAAATACACAAAACTTAGAAAAGCAAATAACAAAGGAAGAAAATATTTCACGAAATATCGAGAAATATTATTTCAGATGAAAGTAATAATTTCGCGAAATTCATATCTCTATTCTCGCTTTCAATAAATCAAATTATTAATGAAATACACAAAAAAGCTTTAATTGATTAACACAGCCGCGAAATTTACAGCAATGTTCACCATCTGGATAGGACAATTAGTGCAATTATTTGTAATTCGAGTAGAATTATTTTTCTGTAATATCTGTATAGTGGGCTTTAAAATATATACTAAGGATTTATACAATAACATCCAGATTCCATCGAATTATCAGTGAAACGCCTAATGAAAATTCGGCAATAAATAATTGTATAACCGCGCAGTTCTGGAAGAAATGTTTAATATAAGGCGCGTTATATAAAGGTAAGAACACTCGGATTTTAAAAATTTATTTCAGGCAGTGAAATAGATTATAGCCAAATTTAATTTTATATATTTCGACGCGTTTTTACATTTATATACAAAGAATCAAGCTCTAATACAAACAATAGAATAATTTAGATCGCTTACGAATAATAACGTAGACAGAAAATGATATTTTCCAAGTTATTTATGAAAGCTACTCGCCAGACTGTTCGCCTTTGCTCGCGATTACTTTCAAAATTCTGTCCCTCGTCGACTCGATTAACTTTTGAAGAAAACCCCGAAGAATTTCTTCCACGATTACAGTTTTGGGTCTGTGGTGTTACCGTATTGCTTTTTACTCGCGTAGACCGACCCGACCGGAAGTCCCCGGACATTCTGCTTGGGGTTCGAATCCGTTGACACGAACTCGGACCTCATTTCCGAGTAATGTTCGTAGTATGGACGGGAGTGTTATCTTGCTGGAACTGCCACCGATCATCCCCAGTCTGTCTCCAAAGAAAAGTAAATGCATTTATATCTGCCGGGTCTATCCTTTAGCATTCTGTATAGGGACGTCCTGATACTGCCGATATCGATATCGTATACCCGTGGGATCCGGTAAGGTTCACGGACAAGTAAGGTTCGACCGAAACCGACTCACACTATTTCGTTAAGTTAAACTTTTATAGTAAATATCAATGACCAAAAATCAATACCTTTTCTGCATCAAATTTCATTTCCACAATCTGTAGGCCTATGTGTTTGTTTGTTAATCGACTCGGACCATGGCCGATGTTTAAAAAGAACTACAATTTATATTATTCGTATTGCTTTCGTCTTAACGGGTTCCTCCTCAGTCATAATACACAGCTTTTTTTTAGATTTTTTTTGGCATGTGCATATGTATGAGCGTATAAAACTAACAATGCACTGTACAGTACACGCATATGCCAAAAAAGTCCAAAAAAAAAATCTATGTATTATGACTGAACAGGACCTGAAATGCGTATCAAAAATGAATACGTAGAAGAAAATTATGTCTCGAAGTCATTCTGTTCCGTGACTATCCAGTGTGATAAGTCCATCTATAGGAAAAGTGCACCAGCGCGAAACATACGAAAAAAGCTACAATTTGAATATAGCATACTTGTTTGAGCCGACACGATGGAATTTGAACACAATAAAGAACTTTCAATTGTAATAGTGTAAATATACTATTGTGCAGTACATCTTCCTTAATGACTTCGTATCCATCCCTATTCCGTGTGGAGTGGTACCAACAGATCCCGTTAGTAGCACTATAGGCGTAAGACCTTTGTATGTATGTAAGGTCCTACACCTGTACTCATCATACGAGTGTAAACTGAAATAGTGACTGACGCATTGACTTCTGAACCAGAGAGCGGGATTAATTCCCCGGAATAACCAACAAACGATTAATTGTGTTCTGGGGTCCACTCGGTCTTCGTCGTAATGAGTACAGTATCTTCTCGGGCACAGGCTGAACAGCGAAATCCGAAGATATTTCCGGTTTCGATACCCGACGCCGATACTGACCGGTATCGATACTTTTGTGATATCGAAACATCCCCAATTCTGCCTTTCTTGGGGAAAGACAATATTTGTTTTCCCTCGCTCTGCAAAAGCATCGAGCCATAACGGAACCCCCATCCGTTTATCGTTTGAAGTCGATTTCCCTCTCCTTTCTTAAATGGAGCCAATAGAATTGGCAACCAGCGGGACCATGTAAATTGTCGTCGTCCGACCGCACCACATTCTTCCACCGTTCCTTCTGGCCCAAGTCAGCCTTACGCTTGTCTGTAAACTTTGCTTCCGACGTCCTTTTGGCGCATTGGAGACGATTGGGTCCAAGCTGTCCCGAGCTTACTCTATATTCGGATTTTGCAGCAATAGTTCCGAGAGAGCTCGCTCCATTCGTAGTTTCTCACCAGACGCAAGTTCAGCGGCCTTCCGGGTCTTTTCTTAATTACATATTCTTCGCCCAATTTCAAATAATTCCCGATCAAACAAATCGAACTTCCTGTTTTGGCGATGGATCTTATTGACTCACCAGCTTTACTTAAAACATTTATTTTGCCGTTTTTAAACGTTGAAAGTATCTCGCGCTTTCCGAATTAACGATGCTCTGCTATACAATGTTTATATATAAAAATATTGGTAGCTATTGATGCATATCTCGGTTTCGTAGGTATCCAGTTAAACATATTCGGCGGGGCGCCCGGCGGCCCCCGCAGCCACCGTCGGGACGGGGGAACTGGTCCCAGTTCTCACCCCTTCCGCCACCAGTCGGAGTTCGGGACGCGCGCGTGCCGTTTTGGAGTAGCGCCGGCGGTGGCGGGTGGACCGGACGTCGCCTTTTTTTACAGAAATCAAAACTGGTCGACGCCGTAGAGGCGCGTGCCATTAGAGTAGCGTATAGTGGAACCCCCCTTAGCCCTTTTAGCCCGACGGCGTCGTCCTCCCCCAGTGCCTTGGTCTGTATAGTCTGGGGAGCGACGACGTTTCGTTTCTCGGGACGAGAGTCGACCCCCCTCCGGGAATAGACTCCATTTTAGACTAATTTATTGGCCGTCGGCGGGCCTCTAGTCGGATTAGAAACGCTCGAGCCCTTCGAGCGCCGAAACACAAGTCTTCCATTCGACGGTAGGTAGCGTCCGTTCGACACGTTTTCTACAAAATGTCGTCGTCGATGTTTGTATGTGACGCCACGCGCATCGACAAATAAAGATTTTTGTTTTTATAAGCCGTCGTCCGTCCCTTCTTTCCCAGCTGGCGCCGCGTCCGACCAACGATATTCCAGCCAATGCGCGTCTTCCTAATTGAAATCGTTTATTTTCCGTAAATTCGGCCAAATTTCGTCACTGGCCACGCGCAAGAACGTCGTTTCCAAAGCCACGCAATGACGAAAGTCTGCAACGGGAGTTCCAATAAGTTTAAATTGTTTTTCATGGCTCGCTCTCCCCGTCCGATTCTTCCCACGGGCGTAGTTTGGCTTTTCCCAGCGCCATTTTTAGTCAATTTCCGCCGAAATCTGTAAACGCCGACGAATTCTTTTGGCTCTTCAAACTATCGCCGAGCTCGAGAACTTCTGAGATGAACGCAGGCACGAAGCCCGACGAGTGGTTTCCGGTGGTGAAATTGTCGCCCGTTTTCGGAACCGTAGCGGCGGCCTCCTTAAATCTGTCTAATGCAGAAACGCCGGTCGTCTTCTGCAGATTTTTCTACCCAGCCAACCGTTGGCCATATTTAGTCCTGCCGGTCGTTAATTAATTAACAATGAAACGTTATTACGAAATGGCTTCACTTTCCTAATTCTATCCGATGGGCCTCCCGTTTAACTTCCGAACGCGCAAATTTAACGGCGGTGCCATTGTTTGGATACGAACGTAAATACAAAAAGTCGCCGAAATAACGGGACAATGTCGGAAGGATAAAATTGCCGTCCTTCTTTAACCGTAATCCGGTGTTGGCAACCAATTGGAGAATCAAGGAAGGCGTATACTTTTAAAAGCATTAAAATACCCACCACCGAACGCAAGAAAGTAGACGAATGTTCGTCTCCTTTGATCGCACCTAATTTACCGAACGGAAATTAGGGAAAGAGGAATGCCCGGTATCGGTCACTAGTAAAATCTGCACGCCGCTCGCTATCGGCCCATAGCCAATGTGCTCACGCGCTCTAACTTCTCCCTTTTAACAATATCCTATCCCTTATTACGTTGGTCTACAAACTTTTATTCGATCGAAATTTTATAACCGTACCCCCAGTTGTGGCAAATTTATAAAAACTCATTTTCGTCCACCGAAATATTCCGTAAAAATTATTACGAACGGTAGCTTAAAAATACAATAATC